ACAATGAGTACGAGACGGGGCGTATATTAAGTTATAAAAATATCTAAAAACTGTAAATCACGACGTTGTCATCTTGAACTGCGACAGTTTGTTCAACGACACCACCTTCGATCTCGTCACTACTGGACTCCATGTTGTCCACTTCACTTCCTCCGTCATTCTCATCGTCATCTGTCACCATGGGACAGGAGTCAGGTGCTTTGAAGTAGTGATCTTCAAATTTCTGGACATGTCGGTAGAATTTTGCCAATTTTCGTCCGTAACTTTAGCGATCTCCACGTCCACCTTAGCGTCCAGCTCTCGAGCATTGTTAGATGGATCTAGGTCTATTCGGTTCTTCATCAACCCCCAAACCATCTCGATCGGTTGAAGTTCGGGATGGTAAAGGGGGGGGATAGTATAATAAATGGTCGTGTAGTGATGCAAGCCGTTGTGCCTCATAAATCGGGGAGGTCGGTGTGGCTGAGCACGCATCAATAACTGCGCAATGATATCACTCTCGTTGAAGTCGATTTCTAAATGTACATATGTGATTAACAATATTAGTGCTAAAAAATAACAATAAACTTAGAAAATAACAATAAACTTACTGCGTTCTTTCAACCACGCCTGAATGGCAGCCTTTTTCCACTTTTTGGATGGAGAGGGGTTGGTTATCCGCTTGTGATATGAGGCCCCGTCCATATGAGTGTTGCACGGACCGAATTTATCCTTAAGCGCGATGCAAAGTTTCAAAAACCAAGACTCAAAAATCTGCGAGTCGAAATTGCCGTGGTAGTCGATTGGATCTGCCCCTTTCCGCTTTTTTGATAAAGAATCCCAATGTTTAATGGATTCCCCGATAAACTGTCCGTGAATGCCACTTTGAGAACGTGTTGTTGTTCCTGTACGAGCATATTCGTCGCAAGTAATTATACCTGCAGCTACAATTACAATTCTAAAAATTAGTACTAAAATACGAATGTTAGAAAAAAAGCAAATCAAACATTACCTAGCTCCACGCCCGCTTTTGGATTTTCTTACTTTGTCCTCTGTCAACCACGTTTTGTTGGCAACGTGGCTGACATTGACGTAAGACTCGTCCAGAAACACCTCCGGCCGTACTGGATTCTTGTTGGAGTCTCGGTTTGAAAGTTTTTTTGTAAATAGGTAGCGCGAAAAGCTACATTATTCTCCTTCTCTACTAGAAAATTGCGAATTTTGCCCCGGACATGAAAAAAAACATTCGTTTGAGCAATCGGCGCATACTGCGAGCTGGAATCTTATTTTTTTCTGCCCATGACTTTTGCCACGTGATTTGAAATCAATTGAACTGTAATCGGGCGAGTCGCTTCGTTTTCGGCTATCACAAATTCCCGGATTATCCCCTTCAACTCTGGTGATGAGTACTTGTTGACGGCCCCACGCTTAGTATTTTGCGGCTTTAGCAAAATATAAAATTATATAGGTAAGTGTTATTTAACCGTTAATAATCACAATAACATCAAAGCACGAAAATTCAACAAACATCGTCGAACTTGGTGCCGGGATTCTTGTTCCAGAACGCCATGACGCGTGCAACAGTGGCCGTTGAGATGCCAAGATACACGGCTTCACGATGCCGGGTCTCCACGCG